GCTTCAGATCACGTACGCGCCAGTCTCTAATCTTCAGTTTCAGTCTTCGACGTTTGCTGAAGGATCTTTGGTGTGAGTGTTGTTTTCTTGAAGTAGTTATCTCTGAATGAATTACAATGCGAGTTCTTCAGCGATCACTGAACATGCTCAGTGTATTGATCGTTGGAACTGAAAGTACAGAAACAAAATACATCGAAAGGAAAAAGGGATTATCATCAAATCACTGAGAGAGAGGATCAACACCAAGCCACTTGTACAAACTATACAAATCTCATTCAACCAATCATAATAGTTTTACTTTTTTTAATTATGAGGGTTGACTAGTCATTTTTTTATTGTAAGCGGCGTTAATTGTGGACATTATCATCTTCATAATATTAATTTTAAAAACAAATTTCATCAAAATGAGAAAAACATGAAACAATTTCAGCTTTACATAGAAACAAAGATATATGAAACAATTTCATCAAGAAATAGATTATATGAAACAATTTGATAAAATTAAAGAATGAAATCGATGGTTTATACAAATGACTTGATTTACTTTTGATCTCTCCTCTATATAGGGGCAGGTTCAAACGAGAAACTTAACATTTTGCGAGAAGACGAAAACTTTCAATATCGTATATGATTACACACATGATACACAAACTGAATCATATATGATTAAATTTATTGTCCATTGATAACACATAGACGCTTAATCATATATGATTAAACACTACCAAAGGAGTTTAATCATATATAATACTGAGATTTCTTTTGTCTTTTCGTATGGGTTGGTCGAGTTGATACTTTGATATATCAAAATATTATTTTAACCTTAAATGTGTTTTTTTTTCTCTAGTACCCATAATTCCTTTTTAATCATCAATCATTTGATGTAACTTATCCATAGATCTTAAATCTTAAGTATATCACATTCAACTAATTTTCCCAATATGCATATAAGTTTACATTTATTAAACATATACAAAGGAGTTCTATAGAAATGGATAAGAGATTGAAAATTTATGTATACGAAGAGGGTATATGATTGTGTAATTGTCTAACTTATATATTAACAAGGACTTAACAATCACACTAAATCCAAAAAATAAAAAAATATCGGGTTCATCAGGTTAAATTAGGTTCAAATGACCATAACCCAAATTCAATCTAATACCTACGATTTGAAAATTTTACAACTCGATCATAAATCAGATTAAGTTATTTCACGTTGGGTTGAGTTGATCGGGTTGGTCAGACATTTGAGCACTCCTATCATAAACGATTTTAAGATCTTATATTGCTTGAGAAAAGGAATAAATGTTGTCTTATAAATTACCTGGGACCGACTCCAGACGTATATTTAGATATTTTCTTGAGAGATAAAATACATTCTTGCCAATTTCAAAAAGATACTTTATTCAAAATTCAAATTAAAGCAAGATGATAAATAAAGTTTGAGAATGTCTCGATCCCGAGATACAAGGGACGAGAAAACGTCTACAGAAACCTAACACCAACAACTCTAAAAGAGGTTAAGACCCAAAATCCGTGTTTTTATTTGATCATTAGACGTTATATTTAAAAGAATTGAAAGCCAAAATTCACGGATAAGTTGCAAAAGTAAGGGTTGATTGTTTATATTTGTTGAGGCCAAAATGAAATTGTTGGCGGAAAGTATGATTGTTTAATAATCCCATTCACAATTATTGCATTTGTTTATATATACTTTTAGTTTTTTATTGTGATCGAGTATTTATGTTAGATTTTTGTGAGATTATGTGTGATATTTTTCTAAAATATCTACTCTTTTTTTTTTTTTTTACTGATGAACAAAAGATGCTTTTTATGATATGGTTTTGACTCTCTTATATATATAAAGTTAACTTTTTAAATAATTTATTATATTATGATAACTTTGATGACTTGTGCATCATGTATTATTTCATATGATTTTTTTTAATCTAAGAGTATGATTTAAAATGTTAATTAACATATATTTGTTTTATAATTTGTTTGTTTATCATGTACTTCGGTTCATAATATGAATATTTTTTACATGTTTGTGAAACAAAAAAGGCATGTAACAATGTTTCATATTATAAACCGATGAAACAAATATATATATATCAATAAATTAAATACGATATATATATATATATATATATAGAGAGAGAGAGAGAGAGAGAGAGTTTGTTTCAAATACAACTTGTTGCATTTGTACAACCAATGTAACCCAATAAATTGAGATATTTATAGAAATGATGAGAGTTCATTTATTATGATTTGAATATTTATGGAAGATGAATATGGTTCATTAATTATATATGATTAATACTTTATATTAGGAAACAATCAAAACTTCTATAAAATCACATATTAATCAAACGAAATGGACGGTTGAGATTGGATTGTATTGGTTGTATAAATGTCAAGGTTGTATAATAACCAATATATATATATATATATATGAAGGATAATTATGTCAAAATGGACATAATTGGAAAAAAAATGAAAAAAGGAACCTCAATAATTGTAACACCCCAAAATCACATTTGCATATAAATATATATTTTCATATATTAAGAAATACAACTTTACACATTTAGTCCCAAAGATATATAAAAGCTACAATATACAAGTAGCTACCAAATTTTTACACGTAACTTAGTACAACAAATAATCAATATAAAAGAAAACATAGCTTCCCAATCTCCCGTACAAGCAAATATAAAATTTTCAAAACTTTCTTTTCACGTATTGCTTGATTGTACCTGACTTGTAATGCACAATTTGAAGTAGAAATGAGAGTTAGACCTTAAGATTTAGTGAGAAATCTTTTTTTGGTGTCATTATAAAGTGAAAATCACCAAAATATCTTTTTATGAAAAATCCTTTATCAAAGATATCACAAAATATGACTTAATTTAACAAACCTTCTTTTATCGTATCATAAAGATGAGACAACTCCATTTTTTCGCATTTAACATATAATGAACAATTTATCGGATCAAACTCATAATATATCAACTTATAGCATTTAACATATATATAAGTAATAAAGTTGTCGCATCCAACAAATGCGATAACAGTAACTTGTCGCATCCAACAAATGCGATAACAATAACTTGTCGCATCACACACATGCGATAAACCACTCTTGTCGTACCTCAAAGATGCGATAAACAACCCTCGCATCCAACATATGCGATAACAGTAACTTGTCGCATCATACTAGTGCGATAAACCCAATATGTCGCATCTTATTGATGCAATATTTTCAATTCATCGCATCACTCTAATGCGATTACAACTCATGATCAAAAATCATCATTTCTAGAAATTGATTATGCATCCCTTATACCAATATACTCAGTTCCTGATTATGTCACTCTTATTACAAAAATATTACAAACTCTAGATTTTGCCACCCTTATTACCAATTTATTCAACTCTTGATTGTGTCACTCTTATTACAAACAGATGATAATAACACATCAAAAACCCAAAATTATGCTAATATTTAGCATATGAACACCTTCGATTCTCAAGTATGAAACCATACAATTTATTCACCAAAAGCAATTAAATGATGCTTTTAAAATAAAATCCACCTTATAAACACAAAAAGATGAACAGCAACAAATTTCAGCTATGAACTCAGAACCAATCTCTTCTTCCTTTTGTTTTTTTTTCTTCGTATCATAGAATACACTAACTCCAAACCTTCTCCCTTCTTTTAAAAACCAGATATATGAGATAAGGAGCTCACACAAACACCCCCCCCCCCCCCCCCCCCCCCCCTTGTAATCATCTCATAACACTCTTTTAAAATATAAGGCGATAGGTTATTTAAAAGAACTTTCAAAACAACCCTTAAACTTTTACCACATAACCGAAACAACCCTCAAACTTTCCAAAAATATCACCCGGTTATCACAATAATCTATTTGAAGTAGTCTATAAAAAATATTAACATCAAAAAGTAAGCTAACTGATAAACATGACATAATATATTAAAACATATATAAATTCAAAGTTAAATGGGAGTTTCTCTTTATAGCATTTCTATATTTTTGTAGGGCTCAATCTTGGTATCAACTTTGTATTATTACCTCAAACTATTTTTTTTTTTATTAATTTGGATATCCAACCTGCTACGTGAGACGACTAATCCCAGGGCAACCACCTGCTTTGCAGATAGCCCGAAGTCACCGTATTTGAACATCCGTGGCCACAAGGGGATTTGTATTCCTCCTTGGATTTGAACCTGAAACCTCCTGGTACTTTTGACCTTCGGAGCCAAGCTCAAACCAATCAGACACCACTCTCGTGGTTACCTCAAACTATTTAAGTTTCAAGGGTAAAGACAATGAGACAATGGAACAATAATCTTGCTTCAGGGTTCGACCAACGTGGGGTTAAAGTGGCAACCAAGAATCTTGTTCTTCCTAACAAAAATTAAGCTTTACAAAATCTTGTTCCGCTTTTTGAACGCTTATATGCCGATTTGACTTTTTACCAACCCTCCCTTCTTCCTCTCCTTTCTATTTTGCAGAATCATTCCGAGTTTTTGGTGTCATGTAAGCGTGGATTTGTGCACTCAAAGATTTGTTGAAAAGAATATTCATAGACCATTACATGATGCTTTTCACCTAGATCGATGAACACATATTTATGTCATTGCATGAGATCGAACATAACATTATGATCAAATATCATGATACTAATATTGAATGGTGCGTTTGATGATTTAATGGACAAACCTTAGTGTGATGGTGAAAGAAAGTAAAGTAGAATGTTTGGAAGAATCATAAAAGTTTCTTGACAAGAATCGTAGTAAGACCAGAAAATTGATGTTTATAGGAAAAAAAGAATGGGTATGGACGAATAACAAGGCATACATCATGTATAATACCTACCATTCACAAAAAAGTTTTACCTTTTGATTGACTTTTAAAGATTCAAGGGTATATATATACATCAGTCACTTATTCTGTAAGGATGTTAAGCTTCTTATCTGTTAAGCTAAAGTCACATAAACACTTACTATAAACTTAGACACTTAATGAAAACTTAGACACATGATTGTAATCTTTTGACATAAAGAAACTTTGAGAACAAAAGATAACTCATTAGATTCTAAAAAGTCAATTTTTTTGATTTTCTTACATAAAATATTTATATTGGATTAGAGGTTGTTTGACGGTTGCTGAATTATTTTGGTACAAAATAATTAAGAGGCTCTCATGATATAGTGCAAAATAAAATATAATTGTTTGGTATTGTTTACAATGAAATTAGAACGATTAATGGTTAAGAGATGCTTATGATACAAAATCATTCAGAGAGTTTTAGAACCATTAAGAGACAATTTTTTTTTGTCAAACAAGATTTACCTCTTAACGATTCAGAGCTGTCTCTTAATGAAACTATTAAAAAGTAAACAAATAACCCCTTAAGTTGGATTTACATGGTGGTGATATATTACAAAACCAAAGAATAAGGAGATAGAAACATTTATATATTTTGATAGAGAAATAGAATATTGTAACGTAGATGCTTTAGCCTTTCTTTGCATACATGATCAAGAAGTAGGATAGAAAGTTCCTACCCATCTGTATGCCCTTTACTTTTTTTTAGGAATCTGGGCTTGCGTTATCTTTGCATTTCGTACTTTTTTTTATTAATTTGGATATTCAACCCGTTATGCGAGTCGACTAATTACATGACAATTACCTGTTTTGCAGATAGTCTGGAGTCACCACATTTGAACCTCCATGGCCACAAGGGGATTTGTATTTCTTCTTGGATTTTAACCGCATTTCGTACTCTTTTTATTTAACTGTTTTGATTAATGTTAGTATATATCAATGATTGTTTTTTTATCTTCAAATGGTTTATAATCGAAGTCGTTAATATCAAGATTATTGTCTCTTCTTTAAGTATGGATCGATCGCGAATTTCATCTTTGGAAGATGTTGATTTTTGAATTGGAATCAATCTTTGTTAGGAGATCAAGATATTCATTGCGACTAAAAACAGTAGGGTTTCTTGAAGAAAACTCGATTCCAATCATGTGATATTAACGTATTTCGACAACGTAAAGTCGTGTAAGTAATTTTATTCTAAATCGAATAAATATATCGTACGGGAAAGTTACCAAATAAGCCATCATATATATTATTGGTAATTTCACTTACATAAGCCTCGATCTCAGATACACGCACAAAAACTATATCTCGCTTACGAGGCATGACAAAGTGTATCTAAACGTACGGTTCATCATCAAATCATAGTGGTACTAACATAATACCAAAAGCAAACAAACAAGTGAAAATTAAGCATCAAACTTGATTACTAAATATGTATATAAAAATATGTCACATGATTGAACAAGCATTAGGGTTATCGTCACTAAAGAGATATGTGATCCGTTCGTCGGTTGCATTTGGGGCTGAAACGGCCTGGACAACGTTCTTGACATAACCAGCAGGAGCCCGTTTGTCGTAGGCTTGAGTCACGTAAGGATAACTCACCAAATTGTACGGTATGTATGGCCAGAATTCCGCTCTTTTGCCTGTACTCTTCACTTTCTTTAATACTTTGTTTGGATCCACATATCCGCTAACTGTTACTCGGCTTTGCTTTCTAATAACCTCCACACTCTTTACACCTTTATAAACACAACGCAACCAAAAACTACTGTTAGACCACCAGAATACCAGATCATCTAGAGAGAGAGAGAGAGAGAGAGAGGATGGATACCTTTCATGGACTTAACGGAATTCCTGACTCTTCTTTCACATCCATCACAGTCCATTTTGACTTTGATTTCAACTGTCTGGGAAAGAAACCACAATTGGTCTTAAGTTGTCAGATTGAAATCTAAGGGAGAGAGAGAGAGAGAGAGAAGGATGTGTACCTGCATTGGTTTTCTTCTGCTTCTGGTACTGGTGCTTGTGACTGTGCAAAAGTTGGAGAGGTAATCAAGTGCCCCCATGCTTTTGCTAATTGCTTCACTTTGCAGAAAGAAAATGCTCAGAGAGAAATAGATAGAGAGAGAGAGAGAGAGAGAGAGAGAGAATTGTGGCTCTGTAATGGCAGGGGTTTAGGAGTTGGTATTTATACAAAAGCTAATTAACCGGAAGTTGAATTTGGACCCCGAAAATTGTAATTAATGTGATACCATATATCATAAAGGTATAATATATATATATATATATTATATATATATGTGTGTGTATATATATTATATATATGTGTGTGTGTATATATATTATGACTATCTTTTTTGTTTTCCTTTTTAAGAATACAATATATAAGAATCTACACAATTCCAAATTTCCAATTAACACCATCATATCTTTTTGCCACCCTCTCCTTGATACACCCCTAGTAACATGACCATATCACATGCTAACCTAGCTCTACCTTTTCTAGTGTTCTACGTGTCTGATACTGTGATGTATATATATAACTCACAGTTATGGTAAGTTTTTAGCTTTGGATGACATGTTGAAGTGAAATCCCCTTCATCATCGATCCTTTGTGGTAAAAGTAAAACTATGTCCAGTGCAAATCACCCTTTCAAAATCTACTGACATAACCTAAATCAATTTTTAGAGAGGCATACACACACACACACACATATATATATATATATATATATATGAAGGCTCAATAAGTGAGAATGTTAAATATGGTGAGAAAGTGCGAAAGGAGAGTTCATATATAAATTATTGAATAAATCTATTTGAATATGCATGTTTATACCCATATGAATGATTATAACGTGCATTTCATATACATCTTCAAATGAACTTTTTAAAACTTCTTTCCGATCCTGATTTGGTTTTCTTATATATATGCACCCCTCTCTCTCTCTCTATATATATATATATATGTGTGTGTGTGTTTATATAGTACTGGTGCCCTTATGATGGTAAACATGTGTGAAGTTGTGGGGTTGATGCATCATAATTACAATGAGAGATGGAGCCAAGTCTTAGAAGAATTTTTGAAAGGGGTTGCAGCTATCAAACCTTGTGTTGAAGTCAGAGGTGGCATAAATTCATGAGTATCCAAGAATGCTTTATGTGGTTTTCTTTACTTGTTTAATAAGAAGAATGTTGTAAAGTGCTTTTCTGTTTGCTTTCATTTTCATTCATTAATTGGATGCATCCTTTTTATTTTTCAATCATTTTCAAAATCAATTTTATATTCTATTAATTATCTGTATTATCTATAAAATCAAGATTTAAAAAGAATACAAAAACTACATATTACATATACTTTGTATAGTATTACTTCAAGTTTATTCAAAATATGTTTCAAAATGTACCCCCAAAAGAGCATTAAAGCACCTGCAATTAATAAAGGCCTCTGTTTGACACATAATTGTGTTCATATTTCCTAAATCCACCCTTGTGCCTACTGAGAAAATTATCGATGTTACGTGAATAGAAACAATAACGTTTTAATCTTTATAAACAAGTTTAACTTTTTAATTCAAAAGATTATAAAAAATTAAACCTTTATGAATAAAGACGGTAACTTTTAATATCCGGAATCCAAAACACCCCAAACCGAACTGGGGAACAATGTCACACAGATTGAATCTATCCTCCGTGATAGATTCAATGAAAGAAGGGAGTAGAAGCAGAGTTGTTCATTTAATGAACATAAATTAAATACAGTACACGAAAGTTAAAACCAACCTGATTAAATCGTCGTTGAATCCGAATCTGCACAATAAAAATTGTTCTTAAAAGTTTTATACGGTCACTCTTGTATGCTGTGAGTCTACTAGTCACAAAGCCCCATGATTTGATGTAGTATCGGGTTTCGTTTATTAATAGCTTTGATAACGAAAAACGAAGGCAAGGTGGATGCAAAATGTTGGTAGAAAGAATCGATAGAAGCAGAAAATCGAGAGAGAGAGAGAGGAAACTGTTTTCGGTGTGTGTTTAGGGGTGGCTTCAACCCAGTATTTATACTGGTTGAAAACCCTAAACCCACGATTTTTTATCCCCTAAATTTTGGATAATCATGGGTTAGCTGGAGGATAATCCTCCAACAATAAATATCTTCAAAAAAAGTGTTTAAATCGGTTTAAAAAACCGATTTTTATTCTGTTTAAATCCAATCCGATAGTTAGCTATCCATCTCTCCCAAATCTGTACCAAAAAGATACTTGGGAGCTGGGGGGAGAGGCTCCTTCTGCTCCAATGCAACGTGCGAAGTGCGCCTCTCATTGCTCAGTCAACACATCTTGCACTCTTATACTCCCTTCTTACTTTTATACGAGTCAGAAACTTTAATCAATACTGGTGTATTCAAGAAATCTTTAAGAGGTACATTGTTTAGTTCTAGATTTCTTTTAGGAGACGATGACCAAAGATGGTGTCGTCGGTGGGGGTGTCATCGATGGGTAGCTAGAGATGGAGATGGTTGTTCTCACCTGAGGGTCATGATTATGGTTGGTGGTGACTAGCGGGAGAAGATGGGGGATTTGAAGTGGTTAGATTTCGGTTTCAAGAAGTTAACAAGAGTCAAACCAGCTAGTGTCGAATCAAACAACACGGATAAGGGACAATTTTCTTTTTTTCTAAAAATAGTATAAAGTCGTAGTCGGATGACAAGTTATTTTTCTATATTACAATGTGTTTCTTGTAACTTAGTGATGAACACTTATCTGAACTTATGTTTATGTCTAATCCCTTATATTTAATGATGATTTAAATGCTAATAGACCCCTCTTAATTGTGGTTTTTGGTAGGTGCCAAAAGGATAGTTTTAAAGTAAAACATAGCATATATTTCGAAATAATCACAAGGCTGGGCATATATTTCTGAATGAATCTGAGGATTGGCATTTTTATCAAATGGTCTTTTGGGCTGAGCATACAAACTCAAAGGGCGTTTTAATGAAGCATAGAAATTCAAACATGTTCTAAAAAGATAGCTGAAGCCCAGAAATCAAGCAGGTCCAAATCCGTTCATGGTGCGTCTTCTCCAAGTCCAAAGCCGCCTTCCAACCTGCGTTTGTTACTGTATTGATGGCATTCCAGTCACAGGCGACTTTTCCGGCAGGTTTAGTCGCTTCAAAACCCGCCTTTGACACTGTTTCTATCACTACTAGAAAACTGAGTATTTCCGACGGAATTTCCGGCGGAAAAAATCCGCCGAAAATTTGCCGACAGATTTCCGGTGGACAACAAAAAAGTCAACTTTCGTTGACTTACACCAGTAAATATTTTCCGACAGATTTTACAAATTATCTTACGAAATAATTAACTCTGATTACAATAAGTTACCGGCGAATTTCTGGCGGATCTTTAATTAATTTTTTTAAAATTAACATCCGGCATTAAAATTTATTATTTTAATTTTTCCTCGGATTTCCAGCGGATGCCGATAGCCGACAATTTTTCCGCTGGTAAATTAAAATAATAAATTATTCAAAATTTTAAAATAAAAATTTGTTGATTTCTGGCGAACAACTTTCCGGAGGATTTTTTATTTTTTATTTTTCATTTTTCATATTTTTGGTATTATATATATGTGTGTGTGTGTAAAATATTGCATATATTCCACATGGAATATATAGTGGATAATAATTCTCTTATTGAGTCCAACACACACACATAGATGTATGCAATACATACCTATATACAAACACATTATCTAATGTCATTTTTATTATTGGACTTTAAAAACAATTAAAAAAAAGTCTGATTTGGGTTTAACGGGTCTTAGTTGAGCCCAATACACACCACATGCTCATATGCAATACATGTCTTCTCACAAACACGAATGACGTTTTAGTAGATGTTAGTTGGGCTTTAATGATTCTATTGTGCTTTTATGGTTCTTATTGAGTTTTTACAAGATCTATTGGGCTTTAATGGGTCTATTGGGCTTTAATGGATGTTAGTTGGGCTTTTACGGTTCTTTTGGGCTTTAATGGATATATTGGGCCTTATTTGGTCGTCTTGGGCTTTATTTGATTTATTAGGCTTTAATAGATGTTAGTTGGACTTTAACGGTTCTATTGGGCTTTGATGGATATATTGAGTTTTATTTGGTCGTATTGGGTTTTAATTGATTTATTGGGCTTTAATTGATCTATTGGGTTTCAATGGATGTTAGTTGGGCTTAACGGTTCTTTTGGGTTTTAATGGATATATTGGGGTTTATTTAGTCGTCTTGGGTTTTATTTGATTTGTTAGGCTTTAATAGATCTATTGTGCTTCATTGGATGTGAGTTTGACTTTAACGGTTCTATTGAGCTTTAATAGATATATTGGGTTATTTGATCGTATTGGGCTTCAATTGATGTTATTTGGGCTTTAATGGATATATTGGGTTTTATTTGATCGTATTGGGCTTTAACAGTTCTATTGGACTTCTATGGATCTATTAGGCTTTATTTGGTCATATTAGGCTTTAATTGATCTATTGGGCTTTGATTGGTTGTATTGGGTTTTAATGGATGTTAGTTGGGCTTTAGGGTGTGTTTGGTGCGCTGGACAAGGTGGGACAGGACAGAACAGAACACATTTGTCCTACGTTTGGTATGGCTTAATATGGAACTAAGTAGAACTAACTAGGACAAGGGTGGGACACGCGAGTTCTCTCTTACCCCCTGGAACTAAGTGGAACACATATTTTTTTACCAAATTACCCCTTCCCCATAGCCTCCATCGCTTCCTTTCTTCCCCACATCCTTTTCCCGTATCCTCCATCGCTTCCTCCATCGCTTTCTTCAACCTCTTCGCTCCTGCTCCTGCACCTGCCAAAGACGCCGCCCCTCACCAACATATTCCACCCCAACAACCCCTCGATTTCCCCTCAATTTCCCCAACAACCCCTCGGCCCTGTTCAGACGTCTTCAACCTCTTCACTCCTGCTCCTACACCTGCCAAAGACGCCGCCCCTCACCATCATATTCCGCCCCAACAACCCTTCGATTTCCCCAACAACCCCTCGATATTTCACAGAAAGCGAGTGGTTTTGGCGAAGCATCGGCTTAGGCAACACGGTCAAGATTGATTTCTGCGCCTCATGTTCTCCCGTTTGGGAAACGTCCAGTGCCAAAGTCACTGAATGGGTAAACTTTTTGCTTAGTAAATGAAATTACAGGTTCCAATCCATTCCCCCCCCCCTTTCTAGATAATTATTTCTGCGCCTCATGTTCTTACCGATTCCTTAGTTTGTGTTCTATATCTTGGCTTCTGATTCCTTAGTTTGTGTAAACTGGATTGTTTGCTGATTGATGTAAATCAGTTTTTTTAGCTGTCATGAAATATGAATTTTGCTCTACTTTGTTTATGAATTTTGCTCTAGTTTGTTTATTGTTTGGTGATTGACAATAAACGCCTTTTCTTAATGTTTTATGTAGAATAAATGCATAAATTGGTCACTGGGGGTAAATTGGTCATTTTAACCAGTTCTGTCATGTCTTGTCATGTCTTACCAAACGCTGAACAACTGTCCTGTCCTGTCCTGTCCTGTTCTGTCCTGTCATGTCCTGTTCTGTCTGCGCACCAAATGCACCCTTAATGGATCTATTGGGATTCAATGGATGTTAGTTAGTCTTTAACGGTTCTATTGGGCTTTAATTGATCTATTGGGTTTCAATGGATGTTAGTTGGGCTTTAACGGTTCTTTTGGGCTTTAATGGATATATTGGGGTTTATTTAGTCGTCTTGGGTTTTATTTGATTTATTAGGCTTTAATAGATCTATTGTGCTTCAATGGATGTGAGTTGGACTTTAACGATTGGGCTTTAATAGATATATTGGGTTATTTGATCGTATTGGGCTTCAATTAATGTTATTTGGGCTTCAATGAATATATTGGGCTTTATTTGATCGTATTGGGCTTTAATAGTTCTATTGGACTTCTATGGATCTATTGTGCTTTATTTGGTCGTATTAGACTTTAATTGATCTATTGGGCTTTGATTGGTTGTATTGGGTTTTAATGAATGTTAGTTGGTCTTTAATGGATCTATTGGGATTCAATGGATGTTAGTTAGTCTTTAACGGTTCTATTGGGTTTTAATGGATGTTACTTGGGCTTTAACGGTTCTATTGGGCTTCAATGGATGTTAGTTGAGCTTTAACGGTTCTATTGGGTTTTAATAGATATATTGGGGGCTTTAACGGTTGGGATTTAATGGATATTAGTTGGGCTTTAACAGTTCTATTAGGTTTTAATGGATATATTGGGATTTATTTGATCGTATTGGGCCTCAACAGTTCTATCAGGCACTAACGGTTCTATTGGGCTTTAATGGATGATAGTTGGGCTTTACTAGCACTGTTGGGTTTTAATGGATGTTACTAGGCTTTATTTGGTCGTATTGGGATTTAATGGATGTTAATTTGGCTTTAATGGATCCATTGGGGTTTAATGAATGTTAGTTGGGCTTTAATGGATATATTGGGCTTTAATAGTTCTAATGGGCTTATAATGATAATGATAATAATAATAATTTGTTGAGCAAACATTAGGATTGTTTAAGTTAGAAATTTCTATGTATCAATATTTAGTTTGGATTGCCATTTATTGGGCAAACGTTAGGATTGTTTTGGTTACAAATTTCGTATGTATCACTATCATTTTGTCTAGAAACATCTCATTTACAGTCGTTATGCTGTCAAAATTGACTTCTAATCTTTTTTAAACCATATATAGGATGATTATTCAATGGGTCTCATCCAAAGATACGGCAATGATCCCTCCATCTATCCCTTAGTTTATATAGAGTTGGGGGAGCAGGCGGTTGAAGGAAGCAAGAAAGATCGTCTATTCGGGTTTGGATACAATCAGGATCCCAATTGGGTCTTGACTGGGAACTACACACAAAGTGGTCCATCATCTTTAGAGAGTCGGGTATGTGTCCATTTTATTTTGATGTGTTTATCGATTTAGTTTCTAATTCATATTAAATTTTATAGCGTTTTCTTTATTTTATAGAAATTGATGTCTCAATGACCGAACTTATAGATTTATAAGAAGAAATCAGACGTACGGAGGAGTGACGGCGGGCGACGGAGGAGCGACGACAGGTGTTGGATGAGAGACGAGATAAACAACTTGAAGATATGACTATTTTGGTCAAACAACTCAGTCAATCTCAGCATTTCCCCCGTCGTCGTATTGAATATCGTCTGTTTGCTTAGAACAATTTAGTTTTTGTTTGGAACATGTGTGCTACTTTAAATTGGTCGGGATAATTGTTGTTTAATTTTAATGTATGATATTTAACGGCATTTCATATTTTTAGCCTTTTTTAAATATTTACAGATTTACATGTTTTAAATATTTACTGAAAAGTTATTTTAAAATTAATAATTTTAAAATAAATATGTAATAAATATATCCGCCAGAAATATTTTAAAGAATAACAATAACTATTTTAAAAATAAAATCAAATTTCCAGCAGATTACCGGCAGATATGTCCGCCGGTAATTTAATTCAATTTTTTTTTTAAAAACTTGTTAATATTTTCTTTATTTAATCAAGATTTTTTAAATAAACTGGGGGGAAATTTCCGGCGGCGGTTTTCCGTCGAGGAAAAATCCGCCGGAGAATTAATCACCGGTGCCTCTTTTTCCGACGGCTCTATCTGCGGGAAAGTATATTTTTCAGCGGATTTCCGACAGATAGAACCGCCGGAAATGTTAACCTGTTTGATAGTGTATGTATATTTTCAGATTGGGGTGGCTCCTTGTGCCACAAAAATCACACCAAGTCATGCACGTCATGTTCGATTGGCCACGTCCCTTTTCGAGCGGCTTTCTAAAGAGGGTATAAATGGGGCTCGCTAACTATCGATCAGGGAGAACCAGGCTGAATCGATCGATTTTCACATGAAGAAACACAAAATCCAATTTCCAGATTCTATGAGACATTGGGGTCGATTTTGGAGATATCTTGATTAGGGTTCTTCACAATTCCTCATTTCAATCATTGTAAGTTCATTTTTGTGTCTTGAAATAGATTATGAGTAGCTAAACCTCTATTTCTTTTGAACTTTGTGGAGACTTGATTTATGTTTGATTATCAATCGGATTCAAAATTGAGTTTATAAGACACCTCAATCTTTAAGCGTCCCATTAGTCCGTTTTATAAGACTTAATTTATATGACCAAAATATAAAGCGTCCTATCTAAATGTGTTGTAATAAATTTATATGACGTTTTTTGGTGTCTTAACAAGTTTTTAGGACATTTTTAGTACAAAGTGTCGCATTAGCAACTTTATAGGACACTTTTGAGAAAGTGTCCTATAAACTCAATTTTTATAGGATATTTATTTGTATAGGACAGTTTTTCAAATAGTGTCTATAAAGTTGTTAATGAGACGCTTTATATTAAAAGTGTCCTAAAAAACATATTACGACGTAAAAAAATTATTACGACGTAAAAAAATGTCATATAAACTTATTACAACACTCTCAGATAGGACACTTTATTTTTTTGGTCCTATAAACTAAGTCCTATAAAAAAATCTATTAGGACGCTTAGAAATTGGTAGTGTCCTATAAACCCGATTTTGTTGTAGTGAATCCTTGTTTAAAAGTGTTCTTCATTTTTGGGTTTTCGGTTTTGAGAAGGATCCCTTGAATCCTATTGCTAAATTTGAATTGCTAATTGTGATTAGGAACCTGTAATTGTTCTTAATTTCAATTTGGTAGCAAATACTACATCAATAGACCACCAAGTCCATTGATTTGCATTATATGATTGTATAATCTAACTTAAATGTTTGGGCTTCCGTTCATTAGTTAGGATTGGTGCTTGTTTATTATTTAATACAATTGGTAGGTTGAATTTTACGTTCGTGACTAGATACAACTTAATCAATTAGGAACTAATCCACGGAGATCCTCATGCTAGGTTAATCATAAGGACAAGCGGAGTGTTTGGCCCATGTCTACATTCACTGCCGGTTTGAAATCAATTGAGAAAATGTTTTTATGTTCAAGTCTAATACATGATTTGATAAAGAACGGTTTATACTCATCACTAAGATTTATTCACTATTGTTACTTCCAACCACCCCGCCCCCCTTTACTGCTTCTAAAATAATTGCACATGACACCGTCTTGGACCCACGGTTGACATCGAATCCTGAGGAGACGACCCTACTTATTGTTATCACAATCGGTTGTGACATAGAGGTAATAGGTTACTTATTAACTACTCATAATTTTCCAGACTCGACACCCGTCACTTAAATGGACAACATATAATAAACTTCAATTAATTTCTTAATCAATCATCATCTGCGTGCGTGCTCAGCTATCTAATTATATAAAAAATTGAATACCAACTTGCAATTAAAGAACCAAAGGCAGAGGAACAAGACAAGGCAACAATGGTGTGGTATCATGTGAAACCATTATTAGAATCTTAATCAATTAAGCACTTTTATCCATATATACTACTCGTAATTGCTTCTGTCATGGCGAAAAGAGCAGTGAAGATGGAGATAATCTCCAAAGAAATCATCAAACCTTCATCTCCAACTCCTAATCACCTCAAAACTTTTAGACTCTCGTTGCTCGATCAACTCACTTTGCATTCATATACTCCGATCTTGCTTTTGTACGAATCTGAAACTTCAATCAGTAGTGATGTGTTCAAGAAATCTTTATCTGAAACACTAAAATCGTACTACCCTTTTGCTGGTAGACTTCGGGAAGATGGTGTCACAGTTGATTGTGATGATCAGGGAGTGGTTTTCGTGGAAGCAAAGTTTTTGGGGTGTACACTATCTGATTTCCTTCTATATCCCAAGTTCGAGACGCAAAGATTGCTGTTTCCTGAAGGTTTCTTGTGGAAGGGGTCGTGCATAGATCAGAGTTTTCTTGCAGCTCAAGTAACATCGTTTGAAGGTGGTGGAATGGCGGTTACTATATCCGTATCCCACAAGGTTGCAGACGGATCCACCATTGCTGCTTTTCTTGATGCCTGGGCCGCTACAGCTCGTGGTGAAGTGAAACCAAAACCGATGATTCTTGCTACATCTATCCCTTCTTTGGATCTTACATTCAAAGTGCCTGAAATTGTGATGGATAAAACTACAACTTGCATCACAAAAAGATACGTTTTTGATGCCCAGAAAATAGTCGAATTGAAAAATTCAATCATGGGATTATCGGAAATACCTACAAGAGTCGAACTTGTGACTGCAGAGCTTTACAAATGTGCCATTGCTACTTCAATGGCGAAAGCTGGTTATATCAGAAACTCAACATGGATTCAGCTAGTAAACATGAGGTCACGAATGACAACACCATTGCCGGAAAATTCCGCCGGAAACTTCAGCTGGTACTTCACAGCATCAAACGATCGAAGTCAAACAAGTGGTGTGAGCAATCTGGTGATGGAGTTGAAAAAAGGGATCAAAGAACTGTGCGGTGGTGGGGATAATCTTGATCTGAGTAACTGGCTGATGGATGTTAAAGAGTTTACAAGCAGTGTAAAGAAGCTGTTCGACGATCTTGATGTTTACAGATGCAGTAGCTTATGTAAGCAACCCTTTTACCAGATAGATTTTGGATGCGGACGTCCGCAGTGGGTCACCATGGCAGATGTGTTTGTGAGGAATACATTCATCCTGTTCGATACACCAGATGGAGATGGAATTGAAGCCATGGTTAGTCTTGAAGAAGAAGATATGAGACTGTTTTCAAAAGTAATGAACATCGATCTCCTAGCTTGAATCTGGTTCCACAATTCGATCAAGATCTCTGACAAACTGATGATCTGTGTCATGATCGAATTATATATATATTCTAGAATTAATGTTGGTTTCTGTGAACTGTTGTAATTTTGGGTTTTTGTTGTTTTTAACTTCCTATACACATGTGTGATCAGGAATATTTCTTGATCGTGAGATCTACTCGAAGAAGAAAGAGCCTGCATATGTAAGCAAGTGGAAAGGGGTTTTATATTTTTATCGGGTCGTTTATCAAACGTTAGGTGCTTAAGTCATATTATCTTACCGGATACATATGACAAGGACCAAGAATCTTATCCGGTAAGAACGAGACAAGGACCGAGAGTCTTACTCGGTAAGTGAATGCGACAACTTTTATCACGGTTAGCGTTTACAGGTAAATTGTTGCATAGGATACCGTTTTGGTGGACTAAAATCTTACACGTTAAGTAAGTGATAATGTTGAATTTTGTGGATAAGCACTTATCCGGATAAACATGTGGTAATTTATATTTATAAGTTCATCGGTCATTAATGTACTAAATTAAACCCAATTCCATATTAAACCCAAATTAAACCCACCGAATTGAAACTTGAAAGCCCAAGTTCATATTTTCATATTAAACTCTATTGCCGTGTTGTGACTTAACCCCAAAGGACCAAAATCCAAATTAACAGATACCAAGAACGAGTGTGTTGTGTACGACCAGGTTTAGGGATGAATCGAACGAATTTCGAGTGCGACCAGGTCTAGCGACGATTTAACTCAATCAAGGATCAACTCACTTCATGACTCAATCAACTCACTTACGACTTGGTGTCTATTTTCAGATTTAAGTACACATTTTTACTATTTTAGTATTTTACATTACTTGATGTCTTGATCTTGATTTAGAATTTTACATATTTATTACTTATTTAGCTAATTAGCTATTACATATTTACATTGTGTCATTGTGAATTTGTGATAAATGTTGATTTACAATTTTACAATTTTGAATAGATGTGGATTCTTTGGTGTTTTGGTCATTGTTTTCTCATTGCTTTATTAATTAGTTTATTAGTTGTTTTATTTACATTTTACAGTTCGTTGCTAAATTTGCTCCATTACTTAGATGGATCATTCTTGAGCACGAACTTGGCATCTATCATCATTTTGTTTATAATGATGTCAGATTTACCAACTTAAACGGCATTGTCGACTTCACTAGATTGATGGTGGTAACAAGACAACATTTTTCTCATTCTTTAGTCTACCGATTATTGAAGCTAACATTGGTTTTGCCCGTTGCAACTGCTACGGTTGAAAGATGTTAATTTTCCGGAGATGAAGTTTGCCAAGACAGATTTACGTAATCGAATTGGTCATGACTTTTTGAATTATGCCCTCATTTGTGCCATAGAAAAAGAAGCACATAATAATGTTAAAAATTAAGATGTCATCAATCGTTTTCAAAAGATGAAGATATGTTGAAGACAAATTTAGGAGTTGTTTCTTAATTCTAAAAAATCATATTTTTTTAATTATTTTTGAGTATATATTCACCGTTTTCAAAAGATGAAGACATGTCGAATACAAATTTAGGAGTTGTTTATCGGTCCTATAAAAACCATATTTTTTGTAATTATTTTTTGGTCTATATATATTATATTAATTATATGGTGTCACTGTTTGAAGAAAAAAAAATTTAGTCCATCTCTAAACTAGGGTATGGTATCTTGTAGTGGTCCGTTTATCAAACATTTACCAAGTAAACGCTTACCAAGTCACTTAATTACCTTACCCGATAGCGATGGTAAGATTCTATAATCTTACACAGTAAAAGTAATGGTAAGGATGTCGTTTTGATTGACTAAAATCTTATCCAATACGGTATAAGTGTAGATAACGACTTTTACCGAATAAGGGTTTCAGCAAAACGGACCTAAATTGAGGTTGAATATAATTCATTAATTGATAATTAAATGATGAAATGCAATGATTGTATTAATCGGAAGTGTTTTAGATGTAAATTATTTCACTTTCTTAGTTAATAAACATGTAATTTGTGGTGGGCTTTTTGCCAATTCTTCTTCCATTTTGATTTAATTATTATTTTTCATGATTTCTTAATAAATGTATTTTTATCCCCTAAATCGACACAATTGACTTTTCCCAAGGCTAACCGCATCAACTTTCTCCACTAGGTCAAACCGTGATTTTGAGGACCTTTAATCCAAAAAAAAAAAAAACTTTAATTTTTGTCTCATTCTTATCTCATCTTGTTCTACCTTTTTGGTGGAACAAAAAAAAAACTTTTTTTTTGTCTCATGAGGTCCCATCTTGTCACAATTCTTGTCTTTGTTTCATGTCGCATCAAACGTGTAACAGTGAGTTCTTGTCTTGTCTCATGGCGGTCCAAACGTGGAACAATGAGTCTTGTTCTGTCTTGTCCTATGACAATATACAAAAGATCATCCATTAATCAAAACTGATTACATTGTTTTATCGTATCATGTCATGGAGTCCGATTATATCTCTCTTGTATTTTCATCTAAGCCATGCAGTAACAAATGTTTATTTAATCGACAAATTACTTTTTATCGCGGTTGTTATTAATATTTTATTAATTTTACAATTATGAAGACTTTGTTTGATCGTTATATCATCAAAACTTCATTTCAATATATTTTGTAATCATAATATTTAAGGTATTTATTTAAGTATAAAATTATCATTTTAAAACTGTAAATCTCTTTAACAATTGTTTTACAATAAAATATTTAGCTCCAACTATAGAAACCAACAATATTTAACCTAATCAAAATGAAAAATAAACAATATTTAGCTTCATAAACAATGAAGAGATCAAGTTATTATTTAAATAAAGCATTTGCTAGAATTGATGTATATTGTCTTTAATGATGATTATGTGGGGGGGCCAAAATAAAAAATTTCAATTATTATATCATTACATTTTTAATTAGCTAAGAGAAGCAAAGGCAGGGGGCCATGGCCCCCCTGAGCCCCTTAAGCCATCCGCCCCTGTCTATATACCAAATGCTTCCTAAAGATGCACTTATTCAAAGAAATTCCTGGATCCACCCCCACCTACCACATTGGCCCAAACTTAGAAAATTCAGGTGTAACCAAATAAGACACTCTCATCACAGCTTTAGCTTCGTTACATCACCTCTCAGTAATCACTAGTGAATTGATACATGATGCACAAACAACACATAAACCAAGCATACCAACTTAGTTCTCGTTTAGTTTGCAGAAATGAAATGGATTTAGGAGGATTTGGATTTCAAATCCATTTCAATCCATGTTTGGTTTGCTGGATTTTTCGGATTTAAAATCCTAGGATTTAATTGAAATCCTATAAATATAAGATTTTGAAATCCTTAAGGGTGCTCGGGATTTCATAGGATTTCGTAGGATTATATGAAATAAAGTTTTAAAAAAATGTTAAAAACATTTGTTTTGTAATAATTGATCGATAAAATGTAATTTAATTATTTTTATAATTATTTATAATTTTTTTTTATAAATAATGGAGTCCAATTCCATTCCAAATCCTACAAACCAAACACAATAATCTTGCAAGATGTTTGGTCTAAGAAAATGATTTTGAGGGATTTGGATTTTGTAGAAGGATCTGGAATTGGAATCTTTGGTGTGTTTGGTTTATAGAATTTGGAATAGAATTGAATTCCATTATTCATAAAAAATATAAATAATTAAATCATCCTTTTGTTAATTGATTATTGCAGGAAAAAACGTTTTTAACATATTTTAAATCACTACATACAAATCTTATGAAATCCCTGAAATACGAACCAATCCATGGGATTTCAAAATTCATGAAATCATTCAGGCCAAACATGGGATTGGAATGGAATTCAATTTCGAATCCCTCGAAATCTAATCTAATCCATAAAGGGTGGTGTCTGATTCGTTTGAGCTTGTGCTCCAAAGGTCAAAAGTGTTTGGATGTATCAAGTTCAAATCCAATGAGGAATAAAAATCTCTTTGTGGCCACGGAGGTTCAAATGCTGTGACTCCGGGCGTCCTGGGATTAGTCAGCTTGCAAAGCGGGTTGGATATTCAGGTTAAATAAAAAAAAGCTCTTAAGTCTGTTAGGTTTACAGGATTGTTTTTGAGATATTTGAATTTCATGGAAGGATTTGGATTTGAAGGATTTAGATTAGAATGGATTTGAAATCATTGGTGTGTTTGGTTTGTAGGATTTGAAATGGAATTGGATTCCATTATTTATAAATAATTATAAAAATAATTAAATTGCATTTTTATTAATCAGTTATTATAAAATAAAATGTTTTTAACATTTTTTAAAACCATATTTCATGCAATCCTATGAAATCCCTTGAAATCCTGAGTACACCCTAAGGATTTCAAAATCTTATGTTTGTAGGATTTTAATTAAATCCTATGATTTCAAATCCGGACAATATAACAAATCAAACATGGGATTGAAAACGGATTTGAAATTCAAATCCCTCCAAATTCTTTACATTCCTTAAAACTAAACGGGACCTTAAAGAAATTCAAATTCAGCTTCTAATTTAGGACAACCGTTGATGTTGTTCTAATGCAAATTTGGTATATCATCGAAAAAAAATCTCGAATAAAGATTCCAAAAAATACGATTTTTCTTTTCTAGTTCACAAGATAAAATGAGTCAAAGTGGTGTTGTTATCCAACTTGCATATTAATGGTTTCGAGCAGGGGCGGATCCAGCCCTTAAGAACTGGGAGGAAAGGCCCCCAGTCAAAGACCAAAAACGCTTGTTGACTAGCTTAAATTTTCTATTTTCATCATCGTTTTACATGGTTTCCTCCAGTTCCATATGACCATATGCTTCCCTCCCCAAGTTCCATCCAACGTGCCCCCACCCCATTAATTTCCTGGATCCGCCACTGGTTTCGAGTCCATTCATTTGACTCATTAACAAGATCCATAAGCATTAATGCGTTAATTATCTGATTAATTTATTGAGAAAGAAAACTTGAATTAAAAATTTTATATTATATAAAATGACATGTATTCGTATAATTGGTAAGACATAGAGGGACATAAGATTTGGAAATAGCATATTTTTATTCAGATGCATATGAGTTTCATACGACTTTACGTACATGCATGTTGTGTGCAAAAGTGTTCTATGTAACTCCTCCTTTCTTAAATGGTTTTTCTTTTCCGAGAGTAATATGATGAGATTTCATATATCTTCACATGGTATCAGAGCCAAATCTAACATCTGAAAAATACAACATTTAGGTCCATCTCTACCCATCAGCTAAAATAAGACTTTTCTACTTCTTGAACCTCCTTTCTTTTCCTCAAATGCTCTTTTTAAAAGAGTAATTCGATAGGTTTCTATACATCTCATACATACGAGTCAATCTTATACATCACAAAGTGTCAAAAATTGCTGTACAAAGCATCAACGATAGAATGCCAAAAAAACATTGTTTTTTCCATCAATGGCCGTTAAAACGGTCAACATTACGTAAAACATATAGAAAGGAAAAATGATGTCGAAAATAGACACGATAAATACAAAGCAAAAACGAATAAAAAGAGACAAAGATGGTGAATGGTTCAAGGCCCTGCTTTATTTTATGTTCATATTTATTAATTATTTAACGAGAATAACCACATTTCATGAGAAGATGAATTTATTTATTTTCACTTAGCGGGTGTTTGGGATTGCTTATAAAAATAACTCATTGACTTATTTTAGTGTGGTACCGATAATAAACACTTTGAGTGTTTAGATAAACAACTTATACTGGTGTCAAACCGGTAATAAGAAGTTTTTGAAAAAGTTAAACCCTTGTGACTTATAATAAGTTGATAAATGCTTTTGTAGAAAAATATAAGTTGTTTGAAATAAGCAATCCCAAACACCCCCTTCAGAGCTACAAAGACATGGACAGCTACAAAGACTTGAAATACTTTTACTTTTACATGCTTTGAATTTGTAAAAGTTTTTAGTCATCGTAACAAAAATAGGTAGATAAAAATTTGTGAAATGTATGTGGAACGTAGATTAATATTTATGTTCTCACGTTCTTATTAAAAAATTTATTCCCACAAAAACCCAATCTTATAAAGGGTGAGATTCGGAAAAAAAAAAAAAAAAAAAAACCAAAAAGTAAAACCAGAAAAAACAAATGAAAAAATGGGTTTTTGTTATATTTCGTCCGTTTTCAATTAAAAATGGGGACGGAGTATCTTTTTGTTTCAATATAGTATAGTTGTAACTATTTTTTTGATCGTCTGAATTTAACGATCATATGATAACATCAATTAGGTTATGTTTTCCTTTTTCTCATTCGATCTTTGATATATATATATATATATATATATATATATATATATATATATATATATATAGGGTTGGATTTACTTGAGACCAAGGGTTTTTCGTGAGACCCGTAAGACCAATTTATGTTCATTGATCAAATTTATGAATTAATGATCTAATGGTTGCAAGGTGGCAATTTCGTAATTAGTGATAAGTCTCATGGCGTTTATAAATGTTCAGATCTGATGATTGTAAATCTAATCCAAGGGTTGAGAATTGGTCTTACGGGTCTCACGAAAAACCATTGGTCTCACATGATCCCAAGTCTATATATATATATATATATATAGATAAATATAGATAGACTTGGAATCATGTGAGAATAATGGTTTTTCGTGAGACCGTAAAACCAATTCTCAACCCTTGGATTAGATCTATAATCTGACAATCTAAACATTCATAAACGCCACGAGATTTCTTAATAATCACAAAATTGTCACCGTGCAATTTATTAGACCGTTAGATCATTAACTTATAAAGTTGATCAATGAACATAAATTGGTCTTACGGGTCTCACGGAAAATCTTTGGTCTCACGTGAACCCAACCCTATATATTGTTGGGTTCACGTGAGACCACGGGTTTTTCATGAGACCCGTAAGATCAATTTATGTTCATTGATCAACTTTATAAGCTAATGATCTAATGGTCTAAAGTTGTACGATGACAATTTTATGATTATTGAGAAGTCTCGTGACAATTTTATGATTATGAATATTCAGATTGTAGATCTAATCCAATAATTGAGAATTGGTCTTACGAAAAACCCTTAATCTCAGATGATCTCAAGTCTATCTATCTATCTCTATCTCTCTCTCTCTCTCTCTCTCTCTCTCTCT